GATCAGGCTCATCATTAACTAACGTACAGGACAGGGAGCTGACAACATCCAGGTTTCACAGCTCAGATTTCTGTAATTTTCCATACAATCACGGAGAATTTGAATACCTCCACACCAGCCTAAAAATGGACCTTCAAATCCTTGAGCCTCTAATATGCTTTTAATCAATGGAAGAATAATTTATTAATTGTATATAGAGAGTGCATTCATAAATGTGATGATGTATTTTATCACTGATCCAAGATGTCAATATTAGAGTCTATTTTACTTATATTTTAAGCAATTATACTTTTTTGCAATTCACTAATGAGGATCATTTTCAAACTGCTTTAAATATCCATTATAAACAAATATTTGAAGCTATTAGAGTTACCTTGAACTGTGCATTTCTAGTATGTAATACTTATTTAGTTAGCTTGTGCCTTTAGTTTCTTAAAGTTATATTTGTATTATATGCAGGAAATGCACTTTGTATTACCTACAGCTGTGGTTTTTAATACTGCCTTGATTACTGTTGTTCTCATGTTATGCCAAAAGGTCTAAGAGTGAAATGTGTTACAAGTTTGTCTTTGGAAGTAGATTTGGCATTTTCCCATTTCCTGGGTGCAGTCTAAGGTACATTTTGAACAATATCTCTTATGAGAATATGGGTCCATTAAGACTCGCATGATATTACATGGCCCAGTTACAAGAGCAAAAAAAATGCCTTCATCATAACAGTTTCATAAATTTAGGAAACTGAATATAAATGTTGTGTTGAGATTACAGCGCTAAAGAAATGTGTTATTACTGCAAGCGCATGGGAGACTGAAGTCGTAGATATACATGGGCCAGCCAGCAGTGATTCATGAGAACTACATGAACAAATAGCTTTGGACCATCTTGTTCATGAACAACCTCAGATGGAGGCAGGGAATATTTCAGTCTCCATTTTTTTTTCCTAGTAGTTAGACCAGTTTCTCAGTGGTTGGTTGTTTGGTTTTGTTTGGGGTTTTTTTTTAATAGATCTCATTTTCTTTTTTTCTTTTTTCTTCTTTTTGATTTTGCACTATAGCCTAGAGACCCAATTGAGGAAAAAAAGAAAAATAATAGCATGGAAATTTTTACTGTTATTTAGATCAGATAATTTGATGCTAGCATTCTGCACTGCAAACAAGGTTCTGAAAGTGGAAAAAGAAAATAATTAAAATAAAATAAAAACCACTATTGCACACTATTCTGTAGCAAAGTACCTACCATGAGAAATTCGTGCTATATTTTTTATGACAACCAAATGAATAGTGTGTACAATAACATTTCCTTTGCTTTCATATTTATTTAGCAAATCTAGAACATTTCAAAGTTATAAATATATATATATAGATATCTATGTAGAACATAGCCAAATAAATATATATGAACTGGTCAGTTTGCAGCTGGGTGTACACACCTTAGCTCTTTGGTTTGAGCTCTTTTGCATTCCTCAGCTGTGCACTGGCTGGCCAGGGGTGGCCTCACACTCTGACCATGCTCTGGGGTCCCCCCTGCCCACTGAGCCCCCTCACCAGCGGCCAGGGCTGGGCTCATAGGGCAGCAGCTTCTCCAGGGTGAGCAATGGCAATGGGTGCTATTGGAAGCCAAGGTGCTGCTCCAAAGAGGAAGGTGGTTTAGGCAGAGGAGCTCCTCTGGTTTAGCTGAGCCAAAGGAGATGGGCAGATCCCCAGCAGGGTGTTCGTGTGCTCGGGGCGCTCGCAGTGGTGCGGCTGATCTGGCGCAGTGACACCCAGCTCAGGCTGCGCCAACAGCCCTGAGGGTTTTCCTGTCAAATGCTGACTGTTATTTAAACCTCTCCTTGATACAAAACATTACCAGGTCGAAAGCACCCCGGCTGCCAGAGGAATTGCTTCCAGGCAGAAACTGGGAATGGTGGAGTCGGACTCGCTGTCGATTTGTCTGGGCATTTGTCACCTGCCATTATTTGTCTAAGGAAACGTGTTTGACAATTTCCAGTTTTTCCTTAGATCTCGTGGTGGACTTTAGCCTTTTAATAAATGTTAGTATATCAGATCGTGTCCTTGACAGTATTTTACTTGTATGAACCATGATAAAACATTACAGTCTTCATACTCTTCTGGCAGAAGTGTCAATAAACGAGAACAAGAAGCATAGCATACGATATATGTCAAAGTAACGTTCCTTTTTAGCTTTCTCATCAACAGTAAAAAATGTTTACAATGTATGCCAAGATCTTCACTTTCTGTCTAACACCAGTTAGAGGTTCTGATCTTACAGAAATTGTGTTATAATGGCCTCAACCTCGTTGCTAGGAAACAATAGATCCCAATTTTTTTATTCCTGCTCTAACTCCTGTGCTGAATAGTGACTGGATACTGTACAGGTTTATGTTATATGGCTGCAGTTAAATGGTCTGATGCATTTTGCTCTGGGTTTCAGACCAGAAGCATGCATTTTCTACAAGAACATCCCAGCAACACGCTGTAAATATTGAAAGTTAATATATTATGTGTCGATATTTGAAAAAGAAAGTACTTTGACTATTTCATTTTTAAAAAATAAAGGTGCAAACTGATGGCGTGTGATGTTGTCTTTGTTTACACAAGTATTTGGGATATTCTGGTCATATCCGTAAAAGCTGCTTCCATAGAGCTAAATAAGGACTTTAGCCAATATTGGTTGATTCAAAAGTGGGAGGGGGGGGGAGGGGGTTGCTTAGCAAGATTTAATTTTACTTCTGATTCACCGAAGTTCATGCCTGTAACTCTGCAGGTTTCACTACAGGTGAAATCCCAGCCAGTTTCTGTGCACAGGTTATTACATTTCATCAAAGCAAATGTGAGAGAGAAAAAAATAATTCTGCTAAATGCATTTGCATTCCTAATACCAGAGTGAGTGAAGTCAACCGTGGTAGTAAGATGAGGAGCAAAGTTTAAGTATCTGCACATTCTTTAGAGCTGCCTCAAATAGATGATGATGAATGACTGTGGTGTCAAAAATATGTACCCAGGAAAATAAAAAATAAAAAGCCCAGCACATGAAGCAGAGAGGAGGAGCACATGAAAGGAAGGGCACAAGAGAATGTTTAAGGCTAAAGGAAAGGTTACATGATGAAAAACATTGGAGCAGCTGGGCTGGGTAATTACCAAGCAGGAGGGCTGAGGCTGGTAGGGCTGTGTTGGATGGATGAGAAGGAAGTGAGTCCAAAGAGGTGCTCTAGTAGAAAAGGGATGAAAAGCAGCCTGGGAGATGGAACTGATTTAGTGCTGCAGGTCTGTCACAGCCATAGATGGGGAGTAGGGGGTGGCTTCGGGGAGGCAAAAATGGAGCTGAGGGAGGGATAGTTGCTGCAGGGGAGCAGCACTGCCTTTGCTGGGGAGAGGGCAGAGCAGGGGATGCAGGGTCAGGGGACACAAGGTAATGCAGTGACCGACAAAGCCACCTGCCAGAACCAGGGCTGTGGCAGCGAGGGGACAGGGGTGGCAGTGCTGCCAGGGGGACAGGGCTGAGCAGCTGCAGCTGCAAGGGGCTGCATCCCGGTGGGGCTGCAGCCCAGAAGAGACAGTGGGATGGAAGAAGCAGATGATACAGAGATCATCTGGGCAGTTATGCCCACAAAATGCAGATGCTGCTCTCTGAAAGGATCTGTAGCTCTTCACGCCTAAGTCAATGTATGAAATCTATATAATTTCCATCTTACTGTTCCTAGAACCAAACATCGACTCCTTGCCTCACAGGCACCATCAGCTTCTCTCTGTTTCCACCTTGTTTAAGCCTACAGCAATTCCAAACCCTTGGGTATCCAAAAGAAACAACACAAGCCTCTGTCTTAATAATTTACATCAGAAACTGAAACAACACTCTCAGCTTTAAACAGAAATGGCATCTTCTGGTCTATTTTATGTATTTTTTAGAAGAACAATGCACTTTTGGAGCCAGCCTTAGTCAAACAAGTTATCCTCAGCTCACTGCACTGCAGAGCGGGTGAGCGGCTGCTGCTCGTGTGCCTCAGGTTTTGCACACGCAGCCTCAGCCTCTGATTGAAGCCAATGGGACATTTCTATAGGAAACAGGCCTTGGGCAAAGTTCTTCCCACTACATTTATCCCTGCAATCATCTGCCAGGGATCATTTCCAAGCACACTTGTTCCTGTTCCCCGGAGAGGCCAGGTAAACCTGGGCTTTAGACCCAGCACTCAGGAAGGAAAAGGGCTTCCCAGGGAGGCTGGGGCTACACACACATACTGAGAGCACCCAGCAGCTCGGTTGGCTTTGAGGAAGGATGGTTTGCAGGAGCAACAGAGCTGGAGAGGAACAGCCAGGGACCAGCTGCCACAGGCTCACAACAGGCTGGGAAACCCTTAAGGCAGAGAGGAGGAGGGAAAGATTCAATGGGCACAAGTGACAGCAAAGCAGCCAGTGCGTTTGCTGAGTTATGTAACAATTAAAAATAGAGCCTTTAAATATTTTATTGAAGAGGAAATCATGCTGGATCTGCTATTGTATGGCACTATGTTAAGGTAAGACCTGTTTCAACCAACAAGCACACGTACCAAGAGGGCACAGAGCAACATGTACACATACAGAGTAAAATATGACAGGACATTTCACTGCAAATGAAATTTGGCCTTCAGTGAGACAGAAACTGAGTCATGAACTGAAATTGTCACAACTTAGCAACAGTGTTGCCCACTAACCCTGCACAGCTGACAAGTCCTGTAGATTCAACCTCCCCTCCAGGAGCCCAGCAGCAGCATGGAAATACATAGGTAGGAAAAAGAAAGCAGAGAAACTGTCACGAAAAATAGTTTATCCATTTAAATTGTATGCAAAGGTGGCTTGTTTCAAGTTCAGAGAACACCTAAAAGCAAAGAACCAGACTTTCCAATTCAATGGGTGTTCTCAGTTACTCTGTGTGTTGCTTATGCTTTTGATCATTTGTGCAAGCTACAGATTTTGTTACAGGGCAGAACGCCTGGTGTGATGGGAAAGCAGTTAGTGGGGATCCTCACAGTGTCACTTCTGGAATATCTTTAGGAACTGTATGAATGACAGACACACAGCCCACCCAAGGCAAGGACACTTTAATGTAAACAATTCTCCTAAGGTTATAAAAGGGGACTTGCCCAGTTCTGCATAAATGCCAATCAGAACAAAGCAAAGAAGACTCCAAAGTTCAGCAATGTAAAATTAGTAACAAATTATTAATTAAGAACTAATCTTGAAGGGAAAAATATTTTTTACTTGACATTTTAAAGGGGGGAAAAGATATTATGTTCATCCTTTTTTTGTCCTCTCTTAGAAAACAAACAAACAAAAATCAAAAAAAAAATTTCACTCCAAATTCGAAGTATTCTGAAACTTAAACTTCTTCATTTTGAGCTACAAATTCTATGAAATACACATTTCTGTAAATGTTACAAGAAAACTCATGGAGTTGTATTAACTATCATATAAATCATTCTGCTTTAGAGCATGGACTAGAGGAGACACTGGAAGATGTGGTTATGTCACAGTTGGGGAAACATCCTCATGATGGCTGCAGGTGGAAGTCATGGCCTTCATTCCTCCCTAAGAAAAATAATCACAAAGATATGAAAGGATGAATACTGCAAGAAAATGGATGGATCAGAAGGCTCATACCTACATGAGCAAGGGTGCAGGTGAGGGAAGGCAGCCATCGCTGCTGTAGCACTCAGGGAGACAGTCAAAATCCATTTTCTCATTACATTGACAGGCCCTGTCTCTAAAGAGCACCTGACTGACAGCATTTCAATCACACAGGAACAAAGTTAGGGTACATTTTTGGCAATGTCACTCTGTTATCTAGTTCAACGTACAAATAAGTCTAAGACCTCCATCTCTGCCACCATGGAGGGCTCTGCTTAGCTGCAGACGAGGCTCCCTCCACCCCACCAGTACCTGGGGAATATTTGGCTTTCATGTGGTTGATGACTGGGTGCTGCAGGGGTGTTACAATGCCTTGGTTGGGTTTCTGGAAGGCCGAGATGAGGTTGTGCACTTTCCGAAAGAGCCTCCGCTGGACCCCAGGTGCTGTCTGCAAAGTCAAAAGGTGAGAGGTGAGAGGGGTGCTGGGTGCCCAGCACCTGTGCTGGGCTTGAGGTGCTGGCACAGGGGCCTTGTCCTCAGAAATGCACACAGCCCACAGGGAAGTAGCCAGCCATGGATGTGGACCCCCTGACGTGCCAACTTAAAACGAGTCAATGAGCTGCACTGCTCTCCCCCTTCCCCAGGGCATCACAGACCCCCTGCACCGAGCACCTCCAGCAGCACAGTGATGTAAAGTTGGGAGAGAGACAACTTCTGAACCACTACAAGAGAAACCTGACACCCCATGCTTCTTAGGCAAGCTCACAAGTGATCGTTCACTATTTCTGACCCTGACTTACTACAGTCAGTCACTTAACCTCCTTACCAATAACTTCCTGGCATGTATCAGTAAGACAGTTCCAGCCTGCAAACACCAGTAAGACAACCTAGAGAGCTACCTGGGCTTAGTGGGGAGTCCTTACACCAATAAATTTCAACAAGGACACATCCTCTTTGCAAACCCTTCTCTGAGCATTAGGTCCTGGCTTATGTGTTGAGTATTCCTGTCTACGTCTTGTACGAAGACAACAACTAAATGTTACCTATTTATTAAAAGTGGGAGTTTTTCTACTTTCTAAATTAGCAACTTTTCAAACACTATGAAATGAAACCACACAAGCTTTTAATCAAAAATCCAGCGTTTGTGCTAAATCCTTCAGGGCATTCTTGCAACACCTCCTCACCACAGTCAAAGGAGGACAAGCATAGGTGCTGCCAGCGTAGTCACACTGGAGGGACAGCGCTCTCACCCAGCAGCTGTGAGCTAAATCCAACCTCTCTGGCACCAGCTGGAGTCTTCACACTGCCTGGGATTTCACCAGCACTGCTTTAATTTCCCTGCCTCGTCCTTGAAAGATGGGCGTGACCTGAGCTTGCTCAGAGACTAAACAGCTACAGGGAAGGAAGCAGAGACAGGAAAGGATCAGCTGCATCTGGAGCCTCTGTTGGCCTTGGAGGCACATTCCATGGGGAAAAGTTGGATCTGTGCTGCTGTTTCTAACAGCTGAGGCCAGCGTGGTCTTAGCAACATTTACTTAAAGGTTTCTGTTTGCTTAAGGGAAGGGTTGGTATCATGGATTTGTAGCCAGCACCTTTTCCTGCAGAGGATGTACAGAGTCCTGGGCCCAAGGGTGAATTGTTTACTCCACAGTAATGTCAGTCACTTCTACTCCCTAATCTGCTTTTGAGTAACCTTGAGAAACAGTTTTGTCTTTCAGAACACTGCTACTGATTCTTTTATAATAATGGCCAAGGAATTATCCTTGTCTAGAAATTACATAATATTTGTAATAAGTGTTTGTTAACATACAAATAGAAAGCAATTATGAATTAATACACAGAGTACATCCAAAGAACAAAAAATTCATAAAATAAATATAGGTTAACATCCCAATCCCATCAACCCAAATAGTTGTCTGTATTGCAAGTACTGTTTTTCTATACTAGAATTACTGTTTTCTTGTCAGATGGGTGAAAACATATTTTGTACCAAGTTTTGGTTACCCTGTATATATTTTTCTCTTATGATGAATTGATCTGGAGCAAAATTAACTTTAAAACAATGCAGATTGAAAATAATTTCTTTAAATATTCCCACATCAGTGGTACACAGATAGAAGGGAACAGATTGTGCTTGTCAAGTTATAAAAACAAAATATTTTTGCCATTTAAAATGATGGAAAATAATGCACTATTGCATTATGCAACAGCTGAAGTGAAACAGGGAATTAATTTATGAATTCCAGACTGTCAGAAGTGGCACCAAGACATTTTACTGATGGGCACACTCCAGATCGATTACCATCAATGAAAATCAGACTATGCAGAAGCACGAATAATTTGAATATATTTCATTAAATCTATAAGAATATGAGACAAGATGTAGAAATTTTCAGAAGAGAAAGGAGAAGTACACACCTCAGCACTCCAGGATCCAGTTTCTGTTTGGGACACTCTGTAGGTATAAACATAGCCCTGATGCCTGTGAAAAAAAAAAAAATTAGCATGCATTTATTACTCATTTTTCCTGACAGTTTTCACAAGACCTACACCTTGTTATGTGGGAGTCAGTTCATCTGCTAACCTGTCCTTAAAAATAAATTCACCTATAAAGGCTAAATTGATAAAAAACCCACTGGCCAGATACAGCATTCAATCTACTGGGTTCTTCTGGGATGAGAAGGACGGGTCTGACTCAGATCTAGTTTAGCAGTATTCAGTTATTTTAGGTTAAGTGATGCTGCTTTCATTCCTGCCTCAGCATTTTTATTAATTTTTTTTCAGTGACCTCCTTTTACTGCCACACACCAGACGTACTTTCCCCGCAAGAGGAGAAGGTGTGTTATTGGTTGATAGCATTACTGTTCTGTGACTCACTTAAATGCAGATGTTAACAGAAGCAATATCATGAGTATAATTGACTTGGAAAGCTAGACCCACAACAAGAAGGTAAATTAATTACTCTTTGCTTTGCCTGTACATTCCTAACTCTCAAATATGGAGAAAGGAGACATAAGAGTATGGAATCTTCATTCTATTAAAATCTGAGTCTTTTGATAATAAGGAGTCATACACCAATAGCACAAGACACACGCTCATGTCCAAAGTCAGTCTTGCTTCTATCATGAACCCAATGAATGATTTACATGGTAGATTATTACACAGATATCCAAAAATTTATGTCAGACACAGAAAAAATTGATAGTAGCTCCATGGGTGCAACATTAGTTTAGATGATATCAGATAAGAAAGACTGTATTTCATACTACATAGATTTACATTAATACCCAGCAGGACTTCAGGGACTATTCCCTATTTCAGCATCATCTCCTATTCTTAAGAAAGCAGAAAAATACTGTATTTCTTTCCAGATATTCATTGTATTATAGCAGTTACTAAAAATTTGCAGAAACCATCAATGACACAGATATCATATGATTGCAATTACTTACGCTCTGTGTCATGGCTCCTGGATAAATTCCTGTCTAAAAGTCATTGCAGCAACCTTTGCAAAGCAGTGTCTGGTATAATTTACCCAAGCAGGAAGTTGTTAACAGCTGGCACTGTGTTACAGCCCCACGAGGTGGGAGCAAAATGCCTGTCATGATTCGTGAGCTCTGCCCCCACCACACAACTCCCACTGTGATTAAATACAGAGGCGAAGGACACAAAGCCATTCCCTCCCACTGCGGCTGCTGCAGGGACAAGCTCCCTGTTCAGCAGATGAGACAGTGCCCTCCAGCTCCTCCTGCATGGGAATGTGACTGATGCTGCCCCACAATCCCACCACAGCTTCATCCACCTCTTCAGGTTCAACCTAGGGAGTAACTCCCCCAGAAACAAGACTCTGTGTGTGCCACCAGATAGATGCGAAAAGTGGCTGCCCACGCTCATTTCATGGAAACCTGAGGAGAAAAACAGCTGCCACTGCTTCCCCCACTGCTTCCCCCAGGAAGCCGCAGTCCATCAGGGATTTGGACCTTGTGAAGAGGTGTGAGCAACCTGTTGTGGCTGCAGGAGGAGGGAAAGATGTGGAAGGACAACAATGCTCTCCTGTCCATGCCATGACACCACAGACACTGGTGTTTTAGGCCACAGCTCAAGCCCAATTGCCTAAAAGCACATCCCTCTAAGACATTAGATGAGATATGTTCATGTTCAGGGAATCTGATGTCTCCCTTTAGGTCTCTCAGACAATCTCATACCATCAGGTCTTTTCCTGAAGCCTCTGAGAGCTGTGGCTGTATTGCCAGCTTTTCAGGAGTATCTGATGTTCATGTTAACTTTGTTTTAAAAATCACAAGGAACTTTCCTGTACCTAAGTATGCAGCACACCAGCCAATATACAGTTAAGGAAATGAGGATTTGACAGACTATAATGTACTGGGAAATATCAGAGAGGTGCTGGCATTTAGTCCCATCTCTTTGAAGTGGGTATTTAACCATCTCTACAGTGATTTTTTTTTTTCAAGCCTCAAACTCAACAGAATCAGTATCCATGAATCTAAAACTCATTTTCTTCCCTTCTGTTTTTAATACTACACTATGCAAAAGTGTATGAGCAACCTGGTCGAGTGGATGGCATCCCTGCCCATGCAGGGGAGTTGGAACTAGATAATCTTTAAAGTCCCTTCCAAAGCAAGCCATTCCATGATTCTACTACCCATCTTTGTTCCTGGTTGTTCCAAAGCATTCCAACTGCTTCAATCTCTTAAAAATCTGATTTTCTCACAAATGGCTCAGTTATCTGGAAAGCCACCATCTGTTGTTTCTTTCATAGTTTTCTCTGCCTAAGAGATTGCATGAGTTGAAGTGGTTGGGGGGCTGTGGTGCTGCTCTGGCTCTGAACTGTCTGATGGCTCTCAGGACTCTGCCAGAAGTGCTTTCTAAATTGAAAAATAGAAGTCAGATTAAGTAATATTCAATGCTGAATTGTGGTGAGATGTAAGATAGACACCTATCCCGTATTCTTCAAAAAATTACTATGCAAAATATTTCCACTGAGCACAGGGAAAGCACAAAGGATAATTCAGATTAAAAGTCCCTGAGATACAGAAAAAGGAACAAGAATTTGGGAACACAGGTGCTTTCAGCACAGCATGGAGAATGGGAATAGTACTGCTATCCCATTGCTATCACAGCCTCATGAGGGACAACTGAGAGCCCTCCACTCACCAGGCATATGTTCATGTTTTTTCCCTGAGAAGAAAATCCTGAAAGACCTGAAAGGTTATACTGTGCTTAAGTTGAAAAACACAACATTATCATGTGGTTTTTGCTCTGAAGCCACCAGGAAACAGAGCCAGTGTGTAGATGGGAGATGGCCTTGGCATCCACACCTGCTTGTTCAAAGGAAATGAGCAAAGGAAGGAGGATGCATTTTCTTGAGAGGGTGAACAGCTAGATCTTCCCATTTCACCACTTTCCATTGGGACCTTGGTTTCCACAAAATGAGTTACAGCTCTTCTGATAAGTACTCTCCCAACGAACATGATCTTATCAAAACTTTCTGTCGTGGCAGGAACTTACTTCATTACCACTTCAAAGAGTTTTTACCTTCCACGTACAAATGACATGATTTTGACGAGCCAATTTTACTGCTACATGGGCACAGCCTCCCGTGAGAAAGGTTTTCATGATTTAAACTACCCAACGTTAACTAAGATCAGTGTGGGCTGAAGGAAGATCAAGGTGTTTTTCTTAAAAGTTAAATACACAAGTTAAAGTTGAGTTTGTAGAGAACATTACCTTCCAAAGAGCAAAACGTAACAACAGCCAAAAGCAGGTGAAAAAGTCCATTTACTGGAGCTTAGGTCTCAGGAAATTAGAAATTCCCCAGCTACCACAAGAGGACAGCTTAGTTTTCTACATTTTACTCTATTCAGGGCAGAAAAAAAGTTCCTAGAGTGACACAATGTCCTTATATGTGGTGTGATCTCAGAGAGCACTCTTACAGTGACACTGGTGTACCAGCATATCTTGGAGGAGGACCAGCTCCTGATGCCCAAGCAGAGATTCAGTGAAGGGCTCCTCAGTCCCTTCACCTGTCCCAAGGGCAGACACAAGCCTCACTGACAAGAGCAAAGCTCCTCTCTCATGTCAGTGAAGCTCAAGGGACAGGAGTAATCATGAATTAACATCTTAATGAATAAGATCTTGTAAATTTTTTATCAAAGGCAAAAAATGCCAAAATACTGGTGAGGGGAAGCAGAAAACAGCCACTGCTGTAAGGACAATATCAGATAGCACTTATGAAAGAGTGCTGTGGTCACCACTGATGATATTTTTATGACATGTCACTTATTCTTTCATCTCCATAAGAAAGGACATGTTATACTGGCTGGGAACTGCACTAACACTGTCTCTATTGCAATACCTTCATTCAGAAAACTTTGTCAAAGGAAAATCTAGAAAAAGTTGCTATTACAGGAAATAGTCCACTTTATATTATAGGCTTGTTTTCCTTTATAGCTAGATAATTCCTCTGAAAGAGTTACAAAGGCATTGTTCACAGATGACACACTAAAGCAGCATCTGTCTACCTGTCCTCTCCACTCCTCCTTTTCAACTGTGATCAGACTTGTTAAAGCTGCGTTTACTTTAACAGGTGAATAATTACAATCTTCTGCACCACTGAAACAGCCCGAGGACATTAGCCACATGCTGTAGATTAAAATTAACCATGACATTTCAGCTGCATGGTATATTTTAAAATAATCTTGCATCTCAGTTAGGAAATTTTATTAAGCTAATTTGTATTAATTTCTGAGTCCAAAACGGAAAAAAATAAAGAGTGAGAAAGACAGAGAGACAAGGGAAAGCCATGTCAGCAATAAATGACATAATTTCTTCCTCTGTATGTAGCTTTCTCTTCAAATGTCATTGCATTATATCAGTCAGAGCTTCTTACCTGGTACATTTGCAACCCGACCTTACCTTGGAATTTCACTTTGCAACATTGTTTAAGAACCAGACAGTGCTGTGGCCTACAAACAGAGGTCCTGAGCACTATACACCCACCAGACTCAGTTTAGTATAACTTTGTCACATTTCAGACTGAAATTTCATTTCTTAGGTGTTTATCTCAGCCTATTTAGGGATGGAGAATGGAGAAGCATCAGAGAAGGGACATGCTAGACAAAATAATGTTTTTCCCATGTTAAAAAAAACCACTTCTAATTGTTGGAGGGGTTGCCCAATTTTTGGAATAACACATAAATTTTTTTTTTAAATAAGGTATATCTCTTGTACCCTCTGAAACCAGTGGTGGCTCTCTAGGCTGCAAGAGAGGCATCTCTAAAGATTTTCAGCAGTTTTAGCACCACCATGTCTGGCTGTACCATGAACACTCAGCTAAGCAGTGTCCATGATCTCAAGCCGCAAGAAATGTATGTGTGCTGCCTGGCCTGGATTAGTGAGGAAAAAAAGAGAAGGTAATTTAGCAATTGGGTATCTTGAAAAGGAAGACTGGCATTGGGTGGG